AGGGAGTAACGCAATATTAGTTACTTTTTTAATGGAGTAACGCAATATTGTAATGCATTACTTTTAAAAGTAACTTTCCCCGACACTGGTAGCCATGTATAGAGGGGAGCGCGCTCGATCTGCTGGAGATCACAGTGACGCGCGTCGCAACAGACGCAGGACAGGAGGCATCACGTAGACTAATATCCCTGGTGCACGAAACCTACTATTATATAACAATCTACAAGATGTCCAAGCCACTAACGGACCAAGAGAAAAGGAAGCAAATTTCCGTGCGAGGTCTCGCCGGGGTTGAAAACGTCGCAGACCTCAAGACCAATTTTAATCGCCATCTGCACTTCACTTTGGTTAAGGACAGAAATGTTGCAACGAAGCGCGACTACTACTTCGCCCTGGCGCACACCGTCCGCGACCATTTGGTGGGAAGATGGATTCGGACGCAGCAGCATTACTACGAGAAAGACCCGAAAGTAAGAAAGTCAAATGCCGCAGTTTCATCCTACAGTGCGGGGCCGCACGTACACCACTGACAGACGGGAGGAGGGGGCGAAAAACACAGCCGGGGACATAATGTTGCGCAGTAGAGCCGCGACACTGCAAAATAAAATAAAAAACATTTCTATTTTTCTTGCAAGTGTAATACTGTGGTATTTATATTGCATCAGGAAATGCCGCTTAAAGCTATTGGTTCGGCAGATAGCAATGCTTTTTTTTTTTTTTTTTACAATTGCATAATCTTCCATGACTTCATGCCTGCATTCAATGTCCTGCAGATCAATTGTCACGAATGTAGGCTATTGGAAGAGCTTTACTGTGTGCCCTTGACAACTGTATCAACAGGTCAAATTGTTTTTGAATAATTGTCGTGCGTGCGAGTTCGAAAAATAAATTAATATATGCACATCTTGGGTTAAAACAAGTAGACCTAACAGTTTAATTTCTCTTATGCCCAATTGGAAACATCGATGAAATTGCTGCACTGAACCGCTGAATTTACAAAAAATTCAACAAAAACATGTTTTCTACATAATTTCAGCATTTGATACGGTTTTTATTTTTTATAAACGTTACACGTTTAGATTTAAGTTGAAAAATCTTCTACTGATTGAATGTGTTGTTGTCATCATAATGTCATCATAATTCTTGCATGCATTATTATGATTGGTTTTCTTTCTTGTGTTTATTTTCATACAGAATTGTGATTGGTTCAGTCCTAAAACCGGAAAGAGAAGGTCTGGTGTTGCCACAATGAAGCTAGTTTATATACTTTATAATTATAGATCTCATTAGCAACTTGAATTATAAGTGGTGTTAACTACTGACAGTATTTTACTCCAACATGCATATGTAATCCTAAAACTTGAGCTTACCTACACTGCAAGTACTCATAATTCCTACAGGAAATGTAAAATTCTATTTTCTTTTCTTTTTAAGTCTAAAATAAAGTGCTAAAACACTTTCAGTATTAAAGTAAACAAAATAATAATAATAATAATAATATTAATAATAATAATAATCGAAGCGTAGGTAGGATACTCTTTCTTTGTATTTGGAATTTGTCTGGCATCCTGACGGAGTGTTTAACCTTAAATGTTGACAGATAATGGTGCTATTTTTACATGAGCTACGTGTCAGAGACACAGTACGCACAAATTCTTCTGTCCTAACCTTTGTTGTCATTTATAGACAAGAGGCTAAATATTACAAGCCATTTTTTTGTGCACTAGCAAATCCTCCATGATAGTTGTCATTGCGCGACGTACGCACAATGATTGAATGTTTTGCAGTGGCGGTCAGTGAGGTCTCAGACGTCCATTACAGATTAGGCTTGTGTTGTGCACCTGTCACAATTATGCTTGTCACTAGATAGGCTAGTCTGCTCAGCAGCAAGGGCTTTTATGGCTCCTACTTCACTGTTGCTCTAAATGGCGCTCAGCTGTTGGTGTTAAATATAAAAACATCTTTTTAAAATGTTATTATCTTTACTTTTTTCACCTTTCTCCTTCTTTGTCTCACCTCTAGCGTGTGTACTATCTCTCTCTGGAATTCTACATGGGGCGGACCCTTCAAAACACCATGGTAAACTTAGCTTTGGAGAATGCCTGTGACGAGGCCATCTATCAGGTGAGAGGAGATATGTTCAACTGAACACTAATAGCAAATTGAGTGCTGCAGTGATGAAGTATTTCTGTATGCCAACCTGCAAGTTAGGATAGGATTTTTCCATTAGCTTTTGGATAATCACAGTAGGTATCTCTGTGACCAACAAAAATGTATGATTCTTACATGTTTTGTACATCATGATAATCTTCACAAATGAACACCTAAATACAATTGCCAGAAGTAAAACAGTAAACGTAGGCTAAAGAAACAAACTACACCACGGTTGCATGACGTCAGCGGCACCACCACTAAGCTTCCAACAACTTTTTCAGTCTTTATTTTAATAACATTTCCTGAAAGTTTGATCACAAGGGGTATTACTGATGTATTTTATGTCATAGAATAAAACATGAAAATATTTCAAGCACAGCAAAAACCCATAAAAGAATCCTTTGAATTTAGGACAGTGGAACCAGAAGTGCTAAAATAATAACTTGTTTCTGGGTTTTAGCCTAAAAGCATGTGTCGTCTATGCAGAGGCGGACAGTAACTAAGTACATTTACTTGAGTATTGTACTTAAGTACACTTTTTGTGTATCTGTACTTTACTTGAGTATTATTTTTTCTGGGAACTTATGACTTTAACTTCACTACATTTGAAAGACAAATATTGTACTTTTCACTCCACTACATTTCTATCAAGGTCCTCGAAGTAGAAAGTCGTTATGTAGCAGCTTTGAAAGTCAGTGGGTGATTTTTTTCTTCTCTAAAATGTGACTTTCTTTTTTTTTCCAGACAGTTTATCAGTAATCACTCTTGTAGGGCTACATGAAGTGATTTCTCAGCATTTTTTGAACACTGACCAGTTGCAAATGTGATATTTATTTACAACAATTCAATAATAGGAAGTTAATATTGTGGTATATATTAGACACAATATTGTCTGATTTTGCTAAATTGTGTAAGTGAAAATATTACCTATAAAGTCACAGAAGAACTGTTGTGCGTCTCCTAATAAAACACAAAAGGTGTTGGACTTGAAGCAGCACTGCACAGACTGTTCTGTGTGTGACATCAAAGTACAGTGAGAGCGATTAGACAGCATTTTATAATTTTTGTTTTGATGTCAAATAAGCCTTGCTGTTTTGCTTCTGTACTTTCACTCAAGTAATGGAGTTGAGTACTTTGTCCGCCTCTGCGTCTATGCCAGTGGTCCTCAATTCCAATCCTCACCATCACTCTGCACATTTTGTATGTATCTCTTATCGTTTTAGACGTTTGTTCTATTCAACCGTAAGTGCCTTGCAAAGTGGACATCCGTACATCACGGGTTTCCCGTGCTCAGGGAGTAGGGAGCAAAGAACACTGTGTAGGGACCATGTCAATCAGAACACAGTTCATGCATGGAGCTCTCTTCTAACGAGCTGGCTATATGAATCAGGTGTGTTAAATAAAAGACACATGCAAAATATGCAGAGCGGTGGCACGCGAGGACTGGAATTGACGGTTAAGGCTTGATGGCATACAGCAAAAACTACTGGACATGCGCACATCAATATAGCGTAATTTTTCTTACACTATACAACAATAATTACTATTTTTGCAAAAAAAAAAATTTGGGTTGGTACATAACAATATTGGCTCAGCCAGTGGTGTGT